GTGTTCCCAGTTGCATCTGCCCTCACCTGGTGCATTGTCTTCGGTCTTCCCATGCCGATCATCTTCCATTGCCTCCTCACCCGATGCAACTGTTGGGCTTTCCTCCCCACATTTGTTCAAGTTGTGCTTCCTGTTGTTCTGGTGTCTCCTTTTTGAGAAAGAGGAGTAGGGGAAAGGGGGGTTCTTTTTACTGATGGGCTAGTCTCTGAAGGCAGCCTCACTCCTGCCTTCTCAGGCTTTGGTTCTTGGTGGTGTTCAGCTTTAGGGAGTGTCAACCATGCTCATAGTTGGTTTCTCTCAAGACAAATGGGTCTTGCTTCCTCTGGCTGTTTGGGTGTCCATAGGTAGGCTTGTTTGTCTCTATATTTTTTAGGGCTTCAAGTATATGGGGTTCCATTTTCCTGGGTCTGAGAAGATTTGGTTACCTTTTCCTTATTCTCTGGCTTAGCTGTTTCTTCATGTTCTTCCATAGGCCTTGTGGAGGCCTACAGAAGAACTTAGCTTCTGGCCAGTCTTGCCCATTCTCTTCCTGAACTCAACTATGAAGTGATCACATCTACTCTTTCTCTTATATTTCAGATTTAGCAAATTCAACTCCTCTAGTCTTTCTTCGTAGCTCTTGATTTTCAGTTCTGGAAGCAATTTCATGGCATGTCTTTACAACTTTTTCTAGTTGATGTGCTTCTTGAGATACGGGCACCATACAACTGCTGTATAATCCAATTTTGGTCTCAAAAGTCGTGAGCGATGGGACCACCATCACCATCAACGTGTTGATGGTGAATGTATATAGTGTGTGACAGCGTATAGTGTGTAAATAGATTGTATATATTCATAAAGTAGCAGGATACAAGGTAAATATGTGCAACATATGTGTACACAAGTGTCATGCATGTAACACAGTGTCCTCAGACAGTACGGATGTTTTACTGCCATAATATAGTGTACGTGTTCATTATACATAGGATTAGCATGTAAAAACAAATAAAATGTATTTGGAACCGTGCACAAAAAAAGAACAAAAATATATTCATGGCAACTCGCTCGCCCCGCCCCGGGAACGTACATCACGGGCGAACGGGGAATGATGACGTCACACGCCAACTTACGGACCCCATAGCAGCCAAAGTAAGTAACAAGTTCAAATTTTTTTGACATACCCATACTAAGGGAAGGGTTTTTGACACTTTAAAAAAATAAAAGAATTTTGTCAAGAGAATTGATTTCCTGCGCACAGGGGGGGGGGGGTGTCATATTTGGAGACGGCGCAGTTAAAGGGTTAACTACCATGTAGCTAAATGAGACTACCATGCTTGTATTATTCTCCCAGGTGCTGTCACCTGGTGGGGGACAGCTGCTTCAAGGGGTGGTTGAGCTTATTACTCTGTGGATTGTTTGCTGTATTGTTTGTTTACTCTCTTTTTGCTCTTGCAGTTGTCTGTTTTGCTCCAACTACTTTCTGAGGGTTTGAATGTTCCACGAGGTTATCATGAATCCCCTGCTCTCTGCACCTCTTTGAGAGTGGTCAGGTTTTGGCCTTTGGTACCTGTTCTGGTCCCTTTTTAATGACTCAAAAATGGCTTGTGTGACACACAGAAATCACAATAACAATGTGATGCATCAAATGAACAAATCCACAAGGATTTGATCAATTCTTTTACCATGTAGTAAATTTATAAGGATCAATTCTTTTATCATTTCGTGGCACAGTTGATTAAGGCACGTCTGGGATCCTCTCAGACGTAGGTTTGAATCCTCGTCACGGCCCTTGTGGATTTGTTCATTGGGTTGTGTGACTTATAAATGTGAAGCTATCTCAGTGTGGCTAACATTAGGGAGCCACTGGGTCCCCCCCCATCCACACACCCACATGAAGAGGCATTTTATTACATTTACTACTGGTTTTCTTAATTCACAAGCTGCTGGCTATACTGTTGCCTTGTTGCTGGGTTCACTCCTCTCACACCTCTCTCTCACTGTCTGACATTTTTTTATCCTTGGAATGGGTTCATTTTATGCTCATGTTCTATGGCAGTCTTACATCCATTTTTTGGCACTTGTACTGTTAAGGATGGGAATTCATACATTTTTTTTAACCCCTTAACTGCATTGCCTCCAAATATGACACCCCCCCAGTGTGCAGGAAATAAATTCTCTGGAAAAAATTCCTTTGATTTTTTAAAGTGTCAAAAACCCTTCCCTTAGTATGGGTATGTAAAAAAAAAAAAAAAAATCAAAATTGTGCTTACTTTGACTGCTATGGGGTCTGTAATTTGGCGTGTGATGTCATCATTCTCCGTTCGCCTGTGACGTACGCTCCCGGGGCCAGTAGGGCGCCTGGGGCTGGGTGCGCTAGTTGCTGCGAATAAAATTATGTTCAATTTTTGTGCACAGTTCCAAATACATTTTTTTTGTTTTTACATGCTAATCCTATGTATAATGAACACGTACACTATATTATGGCAGTAAAACATCCGTACTGTCTGAGGACACTGTGTTATGTGCATGACACTTGTGTACACGTATGCTGCACATATTTACTATGTATCATGCTAATTTATGTATATATACAATCTATTTGCACACTATACACTGTCACACACTATATACATTCACCATCAACACATTCAGAACACCTCGAGTGTGAGCTGTCACACCCAGCCAGTCTCCCTCACTCCAACATCTTACTAGCCAACATTGCTCCTCCCACCATACTGTTATTGTTCTTATTACACTATTTAAACATGTTATATGTAGCTATCTACATGTTTTATTTACCAGAACTATGCAAGTAAGCCGGTATTGTGTCCAAACAATACAGTTGCCACCATACACTGCATAAAAAATCACACAGCAGACAGCAGACGACACTACGATTACGACGTCACCTCCCTCACCAAAATAGCTTCTCTCAACATTCTCCTGTTGCTGTTCTTACACTATATACACACACTATATATACCCATGTACATATGTGTTGCCCATAGCGAACCACTAAGCTAGTATGGTGAGCAAAACAAGAGTGGCTGCCACACACACACACACACACACACACAGTGAGGCTACCTCAATTCTCTCCCTCCCTCCCTCACCAAAATTCCTCCTTCCACAATACTACGCACAATGCTAATTATAACCACAATCCTGCTATTATCACAATCCTAGTCACTAATTCCTGTAAATGAATAATTGACCACACATTTATTTTGGAATGGAACCTAAGAAGTCATTTGAAGATTCCTAGATGGATGAAATAATGCTGTGGTGCTGTGACTAGTGCTGTGAACATTGTGAACAGCATTGAATCACTGATATTTGAACATTGTACCCAGTCATTATCACACTCAGGCTCTTCTATAATACTATCATGGCTAAATAATGCAAGTTATATATATATTTTGACATTATTAGGCGATACTGTGGTCACACGCTGAACAGCAGTGCTGAGAGCTCATGCTGCGTGCGCCGGCCTTGGTTGCTCACTCACTACTGAGGCTCTCACACCCGGGAATGTGGACCACGATTTTTTTTTAAAGATGGCGTCTGTTTACAAGAGCCCTGAGGAAGCTGATGTGAACCGCATGTAGCCGCGGGAGTTTGGAATGGAACGTGAAAAATACAAATTCCCGGAGGCACGTTGTGCCAACCAGACGTGAGCCTGCAGGCGCGTTGTGCAGTTTAAGGGTTAAGTCAGTTTATTCCTGATTTGAACATAATTTTTGGTTTTAATATTTAATTGATGCATGAATTCCATTATATTCTACAACAAATTTGCAAACCTAAGTATCACAGTGCTCATTACAGTATTAAGTTTTGCACATTTTACATTTACAGAAAACTATTCCTCCAAGTTGTAATAATTATAAAGAGGATACAGTACACTAGTTGCAATACAAATATTTGAGAGAATATAATTGTAAAGAATTAGTGAAGTAGAATTGAATGATGTGAAGAGCATGTGGAGAACAGAGTAAGGAATGAAAATACAGTACTGTGGAAAAATGCCAGGTTAAAACATCAGTAAATCATAAGATGAAGCATATACAGAGAGACTCCATAATATAAATAATGGTATTTATAAATATAAATGCTGTATAAAGCATATAACTAATAATAAACTAGTGTAGTGTGTAAGTCCAGTAATACATGAAGAGGGTTTATAATAGTAGAGGAAGGCAGACAAGGTGACTACCAGCTTCTGAAAAGCAAGCAAGCAAGCAAGCAAGCAAGCAAGCAAGCAAGCAAGCATCTTGTTTATATAGTGGGGAGTTGCTGCTCTGGTTGATGTTCTGCAGTGTGACGCTTTCTGGTGGAAAATATGATGGACAAGTTTCATTTTGAAATATTTTCAATAATTTTTTTTCCTATACTGCTGCGCTTTTATCCCTTGAAGTGATGGCTCCCTTCCTCATAAGGATGGGAGATGGTAATGTAGGTTATGATTATGTACTTTACCACAATATAATATGCCATAGATCATATTTGTGTTGAATTTTACTCTTTCAGTTTTTTTTTTGTTAACATGTCCCTCAATATACACTACAAATGATTATTATGAAGGTTTCACTGGATATAAGAAATACAAATCTGTATGCACAAGTGATAGTAATACGTGTATTTAATATTGACTTTTTGTAGATGCATTACATAGGTGCGGTGATAATTGTCACATTTTGGTATGTCTTGATGCTGTTGCATTGTAGTTGTCACACTTAATTTAGAAAGAATGATACAGTACTTTTAATTTGTTTGTATTTTAAGAGGGAAAGATATTTTTGCAAAGTCTACTCCCCAACAAATGGAAAAATGTATTTTTGTATTTGTGAATTGTTTTCATACTCAATAGTGGCAACTGCAAAGCTCTTACATAGAATTTGGGGTTACCTGTAGTAGTTTTTAAATGTTTACTCATTTGAAGTGGTATTGAAGTTATGCCGTGTGGTACTAATAGTAGCATGTGTTTTTTTCCCTCCCGTCCAACGCTCCTCTTAATGCTCTAGGATCCCGAGCACTCCGAGGTAAAGCTGTCAGAGTGACCTGACCTTGCTGGTGTTGGTGGTGGTGGTGGTGGTGGAGAGTCTTGTTATCTGCACTGTATTATAGAACATGCCTCACATTGTTTACTTATTAATTGGCTGGGATATAACAAGCATGATTCTCAGTTGAACTAAGTACCTGTAGTAGCATAAGGTTTTGTCTTGAAGAAATGTTTCTTTTCTTTGAGTGGGCTTTCTTTTTTCAGTAGCTCTTAAGTAGATGAAGAAGTAGAGATGTTCTTCCAAATATTAACTCTGGTTTGCTTCCGTGCATGTATGCAAGATCTCGTTCATTTTCTGCCATCTGTTATGGGTGGTATTCGGTCTGTGTAAAAAAGTTACTACACAAAGTATTTGTTAATACATTTGTTTGTCTAACATGCTTTATCTGTTATATATGTAAATACTGTATTGATATCATTTTTAAGCAGATGGTTCAGTGTATTTTATGGAAATGTCAATATACAGTAATTGCTTCATGAATTTGATAGTCACTGGTTATAGTAAGTGAACACATTTACTGTACTTGTATAGATACTTTCAACTTTGCCTATAAATTATTATTTTGCCTGCGGCATTGGAGCTTTTAGTGAATTTCACTTGCAAATTCTAGTGGGTTTAATACAAGCGTTGACAATTTATGGAATGTGATTATTCACTCCTCCCCATTTGAAAGTTAAAGGGTCAATTAGGAGTGGCATCATTTACGAGCAACTAATTAATGAGGTGGGTCATACCAGCAACAGTATGTTCATGCTTTCACAAGTGTTTCAGATTTCCTTGGAAAATAATTAAGGAATGTCATCTTCAGAAAGGTTCCTGCTTAGTGTAACATCGTTTAATGTAAGTTAAAGAGAGAGAGTGATACGAGATTGTCTAATAATAACAACAACTTTAGGTTGCAAATTTGTTAAGCTTGTAAACTGTTTAATAAGTAGACTAAACTGCCACGATTGAGAAAAGATGTGCAAGTTTCATAAGTGGACCAGTAAGTGTTTCATTACTCCTGGCCCAGGTCACCAGAGGTCTCAGACTGCCATCCTTCTTACTTCATGTCTATTACTGTGCACATATTCTTTGCACATATTCTTCAGGGACCCCACTCTCCTTCTCTGAGCCAAGTACAGTAGTGTTAGTGATCCTTGGAACAATTTCATTATCCCAGGCCGTGCTTAGTTTCTTCTTTATGAATTATTCTTAATGTACCTACCAATTCAAGTGGTTTGACAGGTTCCTCTTCTTAGAAGTTGAGATCATTTGAGGTACTGTGCCTCACTTTCAGGCAGTGCTTGGGACTTTAGTGGGAAGTTGAGTAGTGGTTTGTGCCTGTCCGAGACACAAACTAAGGCGAAGAGGTAGAACGTCCTATTCATAGAGCTCAAGTGCATGGGAGAATTGCGTAAAATCCTGGTTTGTGTCTCGGAGAGGCTGCAGGGTCCAAGTAAGGGCAGTAGAACTTCTGGGTGCAATTCTTTTAACCATGTCGTAGCACAGTCGATTAAGGCAGGGTCTGGGATGCTCTTGGACGTAGGTTCAAACCCTCGTCACAGTCCTTATGGATTTGTTCCCAATGAATATTATTGGGGCTTGAACTGAACCCTGTGATACTCCAATAGTAACATTTCTCCAGTCTAATACATTGCCTCTGATTACTGCCATCATCTTGCCAGAAAATTTGTTCACCATGTCAGTACTCTTCCTGTCACTCCTCCAGTATATCCTAATATACTGGAGGATATGATTTCCCTAGTATACCTAATTGAAGCAAAACGTTTAAATGGGGATAGAAATGAAGAAGACAAATTCTTTTTTCTACAAAGTGTCAGGGACTGGAAAGCTTGTGAAATGGTACATAAAAACAAAGCAACAGAATCAGTAGTGGAAGGGGGAGTAAAGAGCAAAGGGAAAGGGAACATGTTCCTGAAAATTGTATATACCAACATAGATGGAGTGAGGTCAAAAACTGGAGTTGCAAGATATAATCCAGCTTAGGGTCCCAAATATTGTCGCATTATCAGAGACGAAACTTGAAGGAAATATATTAAATGAAGTCATATTCCCAAGGGGCTATTCAGTTTGGAGACGTGACAGGAAAACTAGGAAGGGAGGAGGAGTGGCTGTACTGGTGAAAAAACACCTGAAGTTAAGAGAGTTAATATTTGAAAACCCTCGAAATATTGACATAATGGCATTGCAGATCTGGAATCAGGATGACAAGCTGATAATTTTAAATGCCTACAGCCCACCAGCAAGCAACACATCTTGAGAGGTTATCTTGAGATGATTTCGGGGCTTTTAGTGTCCCCGCGGCCCGGTCCTCGACCAGGCCTCCACCCCCAGGAAGCAGCCCGTGACAGCTGACTAACACCCAGGTACCTATTTACTGCTAGGTAACAGGGGGCAGAGGGTGAAAGAAACTCTGCCCATTGTTTCTCGCCGGCGCCCCGGATCGAACCCGGGACCACAGGATCACAAGTCCCGCGTGCTGTCCGCTCGGCCAACCGGCTCCCTACATGGACAAAGGAAGAACTGGATGACAAACGAGAGGGCCTCATAATGGTCATGAGAGATATTATTGTACAAGCAGATAAAGATAAATCACGACTGTTGATACTGGGGGACTTCAAATTTAAATCAATAGACTGGGAGGCCTATGAAGCAAGAACGGAGGACTTTTGGACATGCAGATTTATGAACCTCATTCTGGAGACATTCTTGTATCAACACATAAAGTAGGCCACAAGAATAAGGGAAGGAGATGTACTGTCGGTACTGGATCTAATATTCACCAGGAGAGAAGAAGAGATATTTGACATCCAGTACCTTCCTTCCTTTGGGATAGTGAGATCACGTCCTGTTAGACATTAAATATGCTTTAAGATATCTAGAAGAAAAAGGGGACATTGCAACAGATGATAAACTCGATTTAAGGAGAGGTTACTATGGGGAACTTCAACATTTTTTTAACGAGTGTAATTGGACAGACTTGTTACTAGGCAGGGAAGTAAATGAAATGTATGCCAAATTTTCCAAAGTATACGATGAAGGCACACAAACATTCATACCAAAACAGAGAGGCAGGGCCAGAAAACAGGATTGGTTCAACAGAAATTGAGAGGGGGCCAGAGACCAAAAGACACAAAAATGGAATCAGTATAGGAAGAGGCCAAACCCCCAAACATACCAGCGATACAAAGATGCGAGAAACAACTATACGGCAGTAAGGAGAGAGGCAGAAAGAAATTTTGAAAAAGGGATAGCAGATAAATGTAAAACAGAACCGGGCCTATTCTACAAATTCATAAACAACAAATTGCAGGTAAAGGATAATATCCAGAGGTTGAAAATGGGAACCAGATTCACACAAAATGAAAAGGAAATGTGTGAATCATTAAACAAAAAGTTCCAAAGTGTGTTTGTACAAAATGAAATCTTCAGCGAACCAGATACGATTAGAATTCCAGAGAACAACATAGAGCGTATAGAGGTGTCTAGATATGAAGTGGAAAATATGCTATAGGAGCTAAGTAAGAACAAAGCAGCTGATCCAGATGGAGTTTCACCATGGGTTCTGAGAGAATGTGCACCTGAGCTCAGCATTCCTCTTCAACTGATTTTTCAGGCATCCCTGTGTACAGGAGTTGTAGCTGATGTGTGGAAAAGGCTAACATAGTTCCAATCTATAAAAGTGGCAGCAGGGAAGACCCCCTCAATTACAGACCTGAATCATTGACAAGTGTAATAGTCAAAATATTGGAAAAACTAATCAAAACTAAATGGGTAGAACACCTGGAGAGAAATTATATAATATCAGACAGACAGTATGGTTTTCGATCTGGAAGATCCTGTGTATCGAATTTACTCAGTTTCTATGATCGAGCCACAGAGATTTTACAGGAAAGAGATGATTGGGTTGACTGCATCTATCTGGACCTAAAAAGGCTTTTGACAGAGTTCCACATAAGAGGTTGTTCTGGAAACTGGAAAATATTGGAGGGGTGACAGGTAAGCTTCTAACATGGATGGAAAATTTTCTGACAGAAAAATGAGGGCAGTGATCAGAGGCAATGTATCGGACTGGAGAAATGTTACAAGTGGAGTACCACAGGGTTCAGTTCTTGCACCAGTGATGTTTATTGTCTACATAAATGATCTACCAGTTGGTATACAGAATTATATGAACATGTTTGCTGATGATGCTAAGATAATAGGAAGGATAAGAAACTTAGATGATTGTCATGCCTTTCAAGATGACCTGGACAAAATAAGTATATGGAACACCACTTGGCAAATGGAATTTAATGTGAATAAATGGAATGGAATGTGGAATAGGAGACCATAGACCCCACGCAACCTATATATTATGTGAGAAATCTTTAAAGAATTCTGATAAAGAGATCTAAGGGTGGTTCCAGATAGAAAACTGTCACCTGAGGACCACATAAAGAACGTTGTGCGAGGAGCCTATGCTACGCTTTCTAACTTCAGAATTGCTTTTAAATACATGGATGGCGAAATACTAAAGAAATTGTTCACGATTTTGTTAGGCCAAAGCTCGAATATGCAGCGGTTGTGTGGTGCCCATATCTTAAAAAGCACATCAACAAACTGGAAAAGGTGCAAAGACATGCTACTAAGTGGCTCCCAGAACTGAAGGGCATGAGCTACGAGGAAAGGTTAGAGGCATTAAATATGCCAAAACTAGAAGACAGAAGAAAGAAATATACGAAAATTCACTTTTGTAAACAGTGTGGTAGACGGTTGGAACAAGTTAAGTGAGAAGGTGGTGGAGGCCAAAATCGTCAGTAATTTCAAAGCATTATATGATAGTGCTGGGGAGACGGGACACCACGAGCGTAGCTCTCATCCTGTAACTACACTTAGGTAATTACATACACACACTCTTACACTAAGCTAACTATAAATCGAATATATAACTGAAAACTGAAACTTCAGCTGGTCTAGTTCATCTTCTTGAATGA